GACAAATTCCAGATCTAATAGCAGGGTGTCAGAGCATCTCTCAGAAACAATGTCAGTGATACTTTAGCTAACTCTTGTTAGTACTGCACAGAAGGAAGCACTGATAAACCTGCATGCCTCTTACCATTGAAACCCTATGATGTGACAATCTAGAGAGAGATCATCCACCCCTAGTTGAAAGAGCCTCGTTTTACTGTTCCCATCAATCTGTCTTCAACCATAGGTGATACTTAGAGCTGGCTCTCCTTTGAAGTTATACCATCAAGAGTTTGTTTGATAAGGGAACATGTTCTCTCTCAAGTATGCTGAATAAAAATCTTTTTAGAGCTCTAAAGTTTAAAAATTAACATTCTAGGTTGGGCCATGAAACAAATTTGAAGTTAATTCTGTTCATTCAGTATTGATGTTCTGTTTTGTTTGCTTTGATTGTTATTATGGAATTGCTTGTGTATGTGCCATATATCTTATTTTATAGTCTGCATGTGCATGTATATGTGTGTGTTTCAAATCGCTCTGGCATTTCCTGGGTTAATGATTTCATCTTGGTAATTTATTGTCACTTTAAGAACAGCTATAGAACAGTATTACTCCAAATGGTGGTTCACAGGTCAGTGCTAGTTCATACGCCATCAGCTGCCAGTCTGGCAAGTTTCCAGGAAGGAAAGAAACAATTGCAGTCGGCTCTCCGTTTTCATGGGGGATCCATTCTAGACCCACCACGAAAACAGAGATTCGCAAATATTCAAGCCCCATAGGCTTGAATGGGGCATGCCCCACGGGTGGCTGTGAGGGCAAACCCCATTGATTTTAATGGAGGTCGCCCCTCTGTGAATATCCAAAACTGTGGACTTCAAGTCCGCGAGAATGGAGGGGCAACTGTCTAGCTAATGGGCACAAATATTTTGCCGATCCTTGACACATGGGAGAACAAATTTGCCAGTCTACCACTTCAGACATGTTGAAATGTACTGGTACGGAAGATATGTTAGCAAGTATGCTTTCAATTATTCTATAGAAGGCATTATTTATCATAAATTTGAATTAATCTTTAAGTTATAACATAGAGATAATAATACAGTAGTCCAGCTTGTAAATAAGCAACCCAATCTATGCACACTCATCCTCCACATTTGCTAGGGTTAAGGGCACAGGACCCCTGTGAATGTGGAAAAACCACAAATAACAAAAACAATGTTTTTACCTGAGAGAACACATCTGTAGCAATCTCTAGGTCCTCCAGTGCAACTCTGTGGTCAACATCTGCCATAATTTGACCATAGAATTGTGCTGGAGGAGCTACAAATGCCTAGAAGAGTGTTCTCTCTAGGAATCTCTAGGCCTACAGTGAGACTTTTGGTTAAAGTTGACCACAGAGTTGCACTGGAGGACC